GATTTTTCTTGAACCCATTTTAATCTTTACCTGATGAAGACACGGACAATGCCATTGTTTTGAGAGCCATATGGTTAATTTCTACAGATCAAAGACTTGATGCTTAAATGAATGAAATAGGTTTTAGAGTTTATAGAAGAAGCAAATGGAGAATATTCCAAGAAACAGAGGGAATCTCTATAGCAAGACAAGACCATAATATTCCATTCGATACAAAAGAAGGTCCTAGAGATCGAATGGAGTACTCCATTTGCATAATCTTCAAGCTTTTTTTTTTTTTGGAGGCTCTTTTTCTTCTTTTTTTGATCGTGGAAACAACTTTTTCTCTCTGATTTTCGGTATCTAACCTTTTTTTCTTTGTTACCTTTTTCTGGACGATTCTTTTTGGTTCGATTTTTAAGACAGATGGACATGGTTTCATTTAGACAAGTAGATATCCATCTGTCGGATTTGCTGAGTTAATTTTAGATAAGTTCTTCTTCTTTTTTAGGTTTAAGGATTAATATTTAGATCAAACTCTTTCTCTAACACTAATTTACTTACCTAACCAAGATGATACATTTTTCTTTTAAAATACCCTAATAATAATAATATATTTCAGAAAATTTATATATTTTTTGGTTCCAGAATAATACATGAACTATGATAAAATATTTTCTAATATACAGCATAAATAATTTATTTCATAGAAATCCTCCATATTTTTTACCTCTCTAAATGATACATGAAATCTTGGATTATTCCTACCAAATATTTAGACTAACAAATTTCAAAGGTTTTAGCGGACATTAATTTCACAATCGATAAATGGTCTTAAGTATTAAAAACACATGACTAATTTAAAAAAAAAAATACACAACTAAACAATATTTTACAGAAAACTACACATATTTTTGGCTTTTTGACCCAACACAACTAAAACTTTATTTAGGTAATTTAGTTTTAATGAACTAAATGGTGCAAATGGATACAACGGAGGTCGAAACGTATTAATAAACGCCCAAGAAACTGAAGAGAAAACTCACAGCATTTGAGCCAGAGCCGTTCCTAAGGTTCATAGACCAGACAAAATTAAAAAAATAGATTTGTATAAAAC